AAGAAGAAAGACAAGAAGGAGATTCCCTTCAAAATAACATAAAAACAAAAACAAACAAAACAAAAACTCCATAGCTTGGAGCTTCAAGCGACCAAACTAAAAGAAAGCTTAAATTTAAATTTTTACCAACTGCTGTGAACAGTTGATGTGTTTCAAAATAGTCTGTACTGGGACAATGCATAAAATACTCAGCAAAATCTCTGGTATTGTTATTTTTATAGCAAATTTAACAGCCTTACTAATAATGACTACATATTACAGATAATATTTCTTGCAAGCATTTCAAAGTATGTACAGAAGAAAACAAAATCTAGATTAATTTATGGTAAAAGGCTACTGCAATTTTAAGTGGAAACAAATTATCCTAACCAATCTTTGTAAAATTAATACTAATACAGCACTGAATTTATAAAAATTATAGAGCAATACTGGAATAAAAATTGTTTTTGTTGTTTAATAAGAATATAACAAAGTTAAGCTGTATTTCTGCAACAAATATTTGAGAGCTCACAATGTCAAAATGTTCAACATGTCATATAAAATGAGTAACACAAGGTAAAACACGATGTACTTGAGAAGCAGCACATGCTTAATAGCTTCATTTAATTATTTTATAAATCTAGAGCCAAGGATTTTGATATCAATGAGAAATAATATACTGTTTGTTCAACATTATGAGTCAAATTAAATGACAGTTTACCACAGCTTTAAAATGAACCGCAAAAATATCTATACTAGGAAATACCTGTTATAAGTAGCAGCAATTGTTCACTGAATAACCAAATTGATGGTGAAGTAGTTTTTACCTTACCAAAAATGTTTTTTTTTTCAAAAGCAAAGTAACAGGACTGGGGATTTAGCTCAGTGGCATATGCTCCTGTATGCCAAGTGCAAGATCATGAGCTCAACTCTGATACCAAAAACAACAAGAACAACGACAAAAGGAAAGTTGCACAAAAGTATTACGTAAAAACAGAAAAAGCATACAACAAGACTCTTAGTTTTTTTTTAGGAAGACATATATTTATGCACAGGGGAAAAAAATGACCAGACGAAAGCACAAAAATATTGACAATCCTTACTCTTGCACCATGAGACTATGGGCCATTTTACTTTTCCCCTTAGTACTGGTTTTATGCATTTGGGCAATAATTTTTCTACTAGGATTCCCAGTAAATATTTTTAAAGTGATTTAAGTAAAGAAAAAAGTAACTGATACACAATTTTTTAAAAGCTGTACATGTAAAGTTAATGGTTTTTTAAAAATCTTATACTTTTACCTAAAAATTATTGGAGAAACCTTGGAACTCCTTTCTTTGAAATCAAAGTTCTGAATTGGAAAAAAAAAGACATATGAGAACTCCCGAGATCTGGCCATGGTAGGACTCAGCAGCTTATTCACCTGCCCTCTTGGTAAGCGCCTGGGGCGAGGGCCAGGAAGAGAACCAGAACTCCTGAGATCCGGCCATGGTGGGACTCAGGCAGCTTATTCACCTGCCCTCTCGGTAAGCACCCGGGGTGAGAGCAAGAAAGAGAACCATACCTGTGAGCCTACTGCCACACGGGCTGAAAAATCAAGCATCCTCCCCACCATAGCTACTGGGGATAGATGTCTCAGCATCTCTTGGGAGGATGACCATTTGCAGTATAACAAATATGAGGGATTTCCTACTATCTTCTGTTTGAAGGCAAAGGTTTTTTTCACTGTTTTGTTTTGTTATGTTTCTTTTGCTCTATTCAGTATTCTCAATTGGTTTTATAATGTTCTATTTTTGGTTTGATTTTGCTATACCTAATTGACTGAACAACTATTGTGAAGTTAAAAAGACATACCATAGTACCTATTACTATTATCCCAGTATCCTACTGTGAAATCCTGTACCAATTTCACTGCATTGTCTTGATTGGCTTTGTTCTGTCCTGTGCTGTTGCATTTTTACTACCTTCAAAATAAAATTAAAAAAAAAAAAGACATTTATGAACAAACGAATTTTAGACTTATGACTAATTTCAGTTTGTCAGCCTCCCCATCCATAGGCTCACAGTGCTTTGTACTGTTACACAGACTTCTTAGTTGAACAAATAACCACAAACCCACACCATCAACCGAGGGTGTGTGGTAGGAGGGGATGAGTGTTCCAGAGCCTTACAGAATTCAGCACGGGCCCCCAAGCCACCCTTGTTTCACAGAGGCCTATGGTGTTCAGCTGTGCTTTATGCAGAATTATTGAACTACAGAACAGATTGGAGAAGAAACAAGCCTATGTGGAAAAAGCACCACACTGACCAACAATATTGTCCATATTAAGCTCTGTATTTTGTCTGAGTCAGGATGTAGGTCATGCACAGCTAAAACTGGCCCCAGAGAAGAGGCGAGTTTCTCACAGATTGCCATTTAAACCTCCAGTGACCATGTTTCACAGCAGGCTCAATACATTCCAGCATGTAACTGCATTTTAATTTCCTAAAACCACAGGATGCAAGCCTGATTTCAAATAGTGTCTGGGCTGTGATATTCAATATTGATAAAACTATACAGTATTCTCTTGAAAGTTTCAAAGACTCAGAGAGAAAAAGAACCTTGGAAGTTCTATTCTTAAAGAAATTTACTCTGAGTTTTGTATAGGTTCTAAACAAAGAATAATAGAAAACTGGAGCTTGCTGTCATGAGAATGCAACTTACTAGATTGCAGGAAAAGAACTTGCTATATATTTATCACTCACCAAGACACAGAGTGTTCTTGACAAAAATGGTAAATACAACTTTGTTTTGCCATGAAATGTCCATTAGTGATTTTGGAAAATAATTTCTAAGTTTATTAACATGAATGAATATTTACTTCCATTCAGTGCATGAAAATTATTCAGTCTCCTTCGTAACTTTATAAAATGAGTACTGTGGTCTCTTTAATTCCAAGTAGTACATAAGAAAAGAGGTAACTTTTACAATAGAGTAAGAAGAGAAAAGATGAGAGAAAACTGTGTCATAAATATGGGAAATAGAAACAAATTTCTGGTCATAATACTGGAATTTATAAAGATGAAATGTTCAGCAGTTTTTGTCACAAGGACTTGGCTCTGATATGACCTAGAGAAAAGGTAAAAGAATTTTTTGTTTTTGTTTGTAAGGGGAAAGAGGTGAGTGGTTAGGTCTGTGCCTTCTTCTCTGACACCACTGGTCTTTGGCTTCCGATCTGATTTCAAAAGTGAGAAATTTATGTTCTTTTCAAGTAACATAGATATTTGATCAATTCTGAGATATAGCTCAGAATGAAATAAGCCCATTCTGATTAATACTTTAAAGCATAAGAATCATAAATCCTGGTTAAACTATAAAGCCTAAATATCTGAAAAACCTCAGACCAACTCCAGTGCACACAGCACATGAGTCAGCTGGGCCCCTAGGATGCTCTTCACCTGGCAAGGTATCCCCAGGGTAAGAAGTACCATTCTTGATTTCCTAATGGCTTTTCTAGGATGTTACAAAATACATTACATAAAGAAATCTTTTATAAGGAAAAATCTGGTTCATGAGGAAAAATGCACATCTTACAACTGAAGAAACTATTGCATTTCTTTCCTTGCTATGTTGTGTTCTTATTTAATTTTCTCTATTTACTCCTTTCCCCTCTACCAGCCTTTGCATTTCTTCCCTTCTTTTTTTAGATCAAAGATGACAAATAGAAAAATGTGTTCTTAAGAGGAATGAATCAGGCATCTCCTTTGTGGTGGAATCTTTTGAGGACTGAAAGCTAAATTAAGCAAAGGTTGGAACATGAAGGAACTTCAGCGTGGCTCTGGAGACATGCGTGTCAGCATAACACAACCCATCCCAACAGCATCAAATGCAGGCCTACTCAGCAAAGCAACTGTTGAATGCCCTGAGGATCAGGAGAATGCTTTACAGCAAATGATGCTCAGCCTACCAGAAGGTAAACATAACTGTACATTTTTCTAGAAAGAATTACAGAGCAAATAAAAGTGAATACAGACCAAAGCTTCTGGTATAAATGTGATAACAGCATTCAGTAACAATTGCCAAAACAATAATCATAGGCAGTGATACTTAGCATGTCCATCTTGTAATCCTCATATTAGCTCAAGAAGGTAGATCTTATTATTTTGACATTAAAAGTACCTAAGTTGTTCCTAGCACTTGGGAGACTGAATCAAGAGATCATTGTGAGTTTAAGGCTAGCTTAGGCTACACAGTGAGTTCAAAGCCAATCTGAATTACATAGTGAGACCCTATCTCAAACAACATAAGGCTGGGTATTTAGCTCAGTGGCTTAAGCGCGTGCCTGGCAAGCTTAAGGTCATGAGTTCAATGGGGGGGGGGTCATGGTCAAATAAAAAAATAAACCAAGACAAACAAAAAAGTGAGCAAGTAGAGAACACAAAAATTTTTCTTAACTACCCAAGAACTCACAATATGTCAAATGATTAGGAAGTCAGTCCTAGGCTAATACCCAAAGGGGAACAATGGGAAACAAAATATGGCTTGGGGCAAGAGGTAGAAAAGGGGGCAAAATCAGAGACATATCAGAAATGTAAGAAAAAAAAACAAGATAACATTCACAAGACCCCTCGTGGCCTGTTCCATGACATCACCTCTATACCTATACTCATCTAATTGGTCAATACTTTTACCTTCTAAGTATTGGCCAAATGATCAGTAGTGGACAATTCTAATGTGCTGCGATGGTTGTAAAAGAAATTGGGTATGGTGTCAGTCCTCAAACCATGTCAAGCTAGTCCCACAGAAAAAGGGAGGGGCAGTATGTAGCCCAAGTACACGACGTTTCTTAATTTTTGCCAAACTGTGAGTGCGTGGTATACATGATGCTTTCTCCTGCCTCACACACAGAGAGGTATATACGTGCACATGAACACTCTAAAAGAGATAAAAGCTACCTGACCCCTGGTAAGGGCCAAAGTCACACATATGGACTGTGCAAACAAAGCCAATGATATCCAGGTGAGCCCGGCTCCACACGTACCTGCTTCTGGGTCCTGGTTGAAACGGCAGTATCTGGTGTTTTCAAGTGGAGGCAGGCACTGCTCAATGGGTACCCAAACATATGTCTCAGGACACAACAAATCAGAAGGTCTGTACTGACCCTACAAGAGAAGTGAAGAAAAAAGAGAAGCACAGCATTATCAATAAGTGACTCCTAATATACAAGGCTTTAGAGCACCAGGAAAGAAATGAACTATGAACTTAGACAAAGGCAACCAGAAATAGATTCACTGTAAATACTGTGACACTCTTAGTGATCTCTGACCCAAAGGTTCTCTGAAAGTGACAACGTTTTCATTTAGGATGCTATGATTTGGAAGATTTCAATTTTTACTCTTCTCAGATAAAAACTAACATAATTCTTGATGAGCTGATTACTAACACCCAGTTTCAAAGTCAAATTGCCTTTAACAAACACCAAATAACAGTGGGAAACTTTCACATTGTGAAAAAATTTATACAGAGAATTCATTTTTCCAGATTTCACTGTCCTTTTTGGAATCTCAATATCTTTAATCACAAAATTTTAAATGTACACAATCAGTTAACAATAATATTCTATTCTAATATATTAAAAAGTACTACCTTATCAACTTACTTCTATAATTAACCTAATGTACAGTAAAGAGTTTAAAAAATATTACGAAGGGCCAGGGATTTGGCTCAGTGGTATAAGTGCCTGCCTGGTAAGCACAAGGTTGTGAGTTTGACCTTCAGTACTCACCCCCTAAAATAAAATTAAAAAAAAAATGGAAATTTGGGGGAAATATTTGCGATAATCTCTAACCTTTCTTCAAAATTCTATTTTATAAAATTGATTTATGTATTTATAACTCAATTATATACCCCAAATACAAAAACTATATAATATATGCTAAAGAAACACATTATTCACTTATGATACTGGGAGAAAATGAGGTGGCGAGAAGAGAACCAGGCCTCAACAGGAGGTAATCTCCACCTAGAAACCGGCACCATGCACAGGTCCCTGCTGCAGTGGGCACAGCCAGACTCAAGCCTCTCTCTGTGGGTCAGTGCCATTTGTGGACTGCAGGGGATAGAAAACCAGGCCTCAGTAAGTAGCGATCTCCACCTGAAAAATACTAGTGCAAACACATCACAAAAAATATCTGAAGGGCTCTGCATTGTGATATTGTTTTGCATCAGAAATGCATCTATATTAAGCTGGCTACATGAGCCACAAGATGAAGCTTCAAGTGAACCTTGTGCCTTTCACCAGGACTGAAAGTACAGTATCCCACTCTGTAAGGTCATAGGGAGACAGGACATGAACACATAAAGTATGAGAGAACATTCATTCATTCATTCATACAGAGTTCAAGGACAATATGAAGTTTAACTGGGGGGCTAAACGATTGAGTTAAGTCAGGATGGAAAGGAATGAGAACAATCTAGATAAAAGGAACAGCAACAACAAAGATAATAAGGAGAACCAGGAAGGAGCAGGACACCTAAGCAATGGATAGGTACTCTGGGACCAGATTCTGGGAACCTCCAATGTGTTTGGGCTTCATTGAGAAGCCCATTCAGCTGAGAGCATGAATTTTGCCAGACATTTCTTTTTTTTTTTTTTTTTTTTTTTTTTTAATTTTTATTTAAGGAGAAAAGAAAAGAAAGAAAAAAAAAACAGTGAAGGGGTACAAGTTATACAGATTTACAGAAGAAAAAAATGCGCAGTAGGAAATCACTAGTTAATGGATTACATATTGCCATCTTAGAAATAATTGTTCAAGTCACAAAATTAAAGCTTGTAGAGTGGACATTCCAACAATGATACTGCAAACAGTTCTGTTCAATGATCCAATAAAACTCTGTGATATCATTTTCTATCTTATACATTTAAATATGCATGCAGTTATATAGTTGAGAGCACTTTCTTTTCCTCTCTTTTGTACAATGACTCTTACACATTTTGGGTTTCATTGCTCCCACGGTTCTTATTGCTTTTTTGGAAGAGAGTAAAACCAAATGTGACATAACAGAACAGAATCGGTCAAGTCAAAAGGGTGGATATAATAGATAATATAAAAACATAATACAAGGTGATCAACAATGGTTATCATAATGCCTCCTGCTATTTCTAATAGAATTGCCTATATCAATAGTTGTAATACAATTGAACAAAACCGTAAAGAATAAAACCGACAAAACCAAAACATTGGAGATATTGTAGGTCTTCAAAAGTAGATAAAAGTCAACGAGAATGGGTGTTATAATGAATCTCATTATCTTCTCAGCTGATGCCTAAACTTTCGAACCTGATACTATCCAGCAAAACAGAATAGAGGAACCTCAGTCAAAAACAAAATGGTGAGAGTAATACAGGGCTTCAAATCGAGATAATAGAAAGTCAAAGTGGGTTACTATATTATATCCTGCTATATTTTTCCCTTTAATTAAATGGATAAAAATAAAAAAGTAAATAATGGAGTGGAGATTAAGAAAAAAGAGGGCATAACAGCGAAACAGGGCAGATCAAAACATAACCATTTAAGCAGAATAGTGTTTCACCACCAGATAATCCTGACCCAAAAATAGTTACCATATTGACTCCCTCCCTGAAGTCCTTGAGTACAACTTCATATACTGTAGCATTAAGTATATCAAAACAATGTAAAACCATTTAAGAGAATGACAGCATTATAGAGTATTTAGAATCGACTAACAGAAAATGAACAATGGTCTCTGTATAATCTCCTTGTCTTTAAAAGGTTTTTGCTTATACTATCGTACATAACAAAATCCAATAAGATACAACCTGTTTAGACCATTGGAGACAGAAGAACAAAAGCTAGATGAGATTTCAAAACAAGATGGTACTAAATCAGCATTACCTATTAAGATGTCATTTTCTCCAAAAAAAGCTGTTCCTGTCATCCAATCTTCTCTGTCTCATTTCTGTTGAGCTCTTTTTCTGTCAGTAGCTGTCAGTTTGTCTTCTTTATTTTGTTCTCTGCTCCATTCGTTGTGGCCTCCCCGCCACTATTTCTGGGTTCTTTGTATTTTTCTTTTTTTAGAATATCCTGCAATACTTTCTGTAGGGTTGAATTGGTGGTTGCAAATTCCCCCAGTTCCTCTTTATCCTGGAAGCACCTCGTTTTTCCATCAATTTCCAGGGACAGTTGTGCAGGATATCTCAATCTTGGCTGGAGATTATTATCTTTCAAAGCTTGAATTATTTCTCCCCATGCTCTTCGTGATTTGATGGTTTGTGAAAAGAAATCTGCTGTAATTCTGATGGGTATTCCCTTGTAAGTGATCTGTTTCTTGTCTCTTACAGCTTTTAATATTCTGTTCTTGTATTGAATTTCTGGAATTTTTATTATTATATGCCTGGGTGTTTCTCTGTTAGGGTTGTAGGTAGCTGGGGTCCTGTATGCCTCATACATCTGAGTATCTTTACCTTTTGCTAAATTAGGAAAATTCTCCTGGATTATTTCTGTGAGTAGCTTTTGTAGTTCACTTGTTTGTGTCCCTACTTCTTCTTTTATGTTCTTAATCCTTAAGTTATGGCTCCTCTTATCATCTTCTTGTCTTTGTATTATTGCTGTTTGTTTCTTTGTTATTTTTAAGAAGTTTTTCATTTCATTCTCCCATGTTTCAAGTCTGCCCTCCAGTTCAGATAGTCTGTCCTTAGTTTCTTTCAAGCTGTTATGCCAGTCTTGGATAGACTTCTTAATTTCTTGATAGTCCCTTTGAACCTGCTTCACATACTCAATGCTTTCTCTGTTTTCTCCATCAAGCAATTCTCCCCTGTTTTTCTGTTCTTCCATTCCACAATCTGCTTTTTCCTGGGTGGTGCTTAGCATTTCTCTAACTATTCTGCATACTTCTAGCTTCAGGTCATTGATAACTTCATTCCTGAATTGGTCTATGAGGCTCTCTAAATGGCGCTTAATGTATATTGGTGCAGTGTCCACTATTGCCTGATTCTCAGGATTGGGGGCCGAGGAGCCTTTTTTGTTGCTTCCCTTCCCCATATTTTCTGTTCCTTATAAAATGCAATCTTACACAGGAGGCCCGGCTTCCCTGCCTGTCAGCCACAGCCTGATCAAATTGCGCTGGCTAGTTGTTCCCGCCCACCGCTGCGCCCCAGGGAGTTGCGGAGGAGGCAGCCTACGTGGGAGTCGGTCGCTCCTCCGGGCCACCGTCAGGCTCTGGGATCTGGGTTAGGCCAGCCTAGGGAGTCCGCCAGCAGCGTCACTCAGGCCAGGCACTTTTCACCAATCCCGTCCGAGATGGGAATGTGTGGCTGGAGTTGCCACCGCGCCCTGCTCTTACAGGACTGCCTGAGCCCAGAAAAACCTCCGCTGGAGTCAAACTGTGGTAGGGGATCAGTTTCTTGCTCACCTCGCCACCAGTCAGTTTTCGTGTACACCTCCTTGTCCGTCCTGTTTCTGACTCCGTTCGCAGACTCCCGTTCCCAGAGCTCGGCGCGTCTCTCCTTGCCGAGCCGCTGTGGAGGCAGCCAGCCGCCGGGCGGCGGGAAACCCAAATCGCGGTTTCCAATGGCGTGGCGTCGAGCCTCCACACCGAGACTTTTCTGTTCCTATTTTAGCACCAGGACTGTATTCTAAGTTGGATTCTCTCAGCCCAGTTCGTTCCTGAGTCAGCAGAGCATATCTCTACTGGTTCGTATCTCCTTAGTCCGCATCATTCCTGGCCTCTGAGCCGAGCCTTTCAGAGAGCCTTCAGCAGTTGCTGTTGTCTGTCCGCCATGTTCTCCGGGAATCCTTGCCAGACATTTCAAGAGGAGCAGGGGACAGGATAAAGAAAAAAGACCAGAATTCAGGTCTCCAGCTCTTGATCTTCCGGGCATGTTCCTGCATTGTTTACTGCCTGTAGCATTAAAGGTCTTCTGTAAAGAACAGTTCCAAGTGATCTACGTACTTGTCTAATGCTAAAATTCACGAAGGGATTATCTAAAAAAGAACTAGTAACTGGAAAATATAATAGCCAGATAGTCCATTGCTGTGTATCTTATCAAAACAATTAATTCCACTGCTATCTTTTATAACAAAGCAATTCATCTCTCCATTAATTAGAAATTTTATTGGGGAGAAATAAACATTAGCCTAAA